CTCAAAAACTGTATTAGAGGCATTTCCTATAATTACAAAGACATTTTACATTTTAAACCACAACCTATTATTGGAAAGCTAAATTTTGCTAGACTGTTAGCTTTACGTTTCCCCACGAAGTTGATGTAGAGAGACTCACTGGAAAACAGTATAAGAAAAATTGTTTTGTCAGTATCAAAGTGCTTCCCTAATGAATAACTCCTGATAATCTTTTAAAAATGCAATTAGTTTTAAAAGAGTAATAGTTACGAAGAATTTTCACAAAATATTTTTGTTAAATTAGAAACTATGAAAATTACTATTTTCGAGGGCAGTTCTATCTTTTGTGCCTCACTTTTCAAAAATTAAATCAAGACTAATTTCTGAATCAGAACAAAGTCCATGTATTACTTCAAATCAATATTATTGGATATTGATTCCAATATTTTTGAGAATGCTGTATTTCTATGTGTGTATTCTTCAAAGAATTTTTGAAGCATCAAATAATACTTCTACAAATTTATACCTGAATCATTTAGCTACAACAAATATAGCATTTTAGAATGAAATCTCCAGGTTACTCTGTAAAATAACCACATTGGGCCAGTATTTTTTGACACTCATCAGGGCAGCAAAAGGTCAGAACTCCAAACAGTATGATTTAAAAAGTTTACTATTTCATTTGCATTAGTATTATATACATGTGGTATAAGATAACATTAATACATACCTGTGTTTATTACTTTTATATATATTTTATAAAACGATTAAAGCACTAAGACCTGAATATACTTGCAAAAACTTTAAGTGGCTTTCTAAGGCACTGAAATTGTAAGGTTAGAGAAGGGGTAGCTAATCTTTCAATAATCATGACCACACAATCTTTTTGTGGCATTATTCTATTCATTAAGCTTTGATGGAGTCAATGACATCACTCAAGTGGACAAATTTCCAGAAATATTTTTGCATGCAAGGAGGGTTGTTCATTTTATTATTCATTCATTTGTTTTTAAAAAGGCTTATTATACTATACCTTTTTATTCATTATGAAAAATCAATTTATCTTCAGTGAACTATCAAATTTTGGATACCCCCCCCCCCCCCCCCACCAAGCAGTTCTAAGATGTACAAAAAGGGATTGGGTAGTCAGTAGTTTATCATGCCTTCCATTCTAGTAGTCCACAAATTTTCTTTCTTTGTAAAAAAAAAAAAGAGGAATCACAAGCAAACCATGATGTAGACAAAAACAAATACACTTTTGTGGCATTATTTAATAAGTTCATAGATGAGCTTCCCGAAGCAAAATATGTAATTTAATCATAAAATATACATCCATCCATCATGCACAACTATTACATAAACTTTGCTGAAACTTTTTTCATCAGTTTAAATAAATGTTACCTTTCTACCAATTTTCTACCAGTGAGGTAAGTACTACTTGATGTATTTCTAATAAGAGGCAATTGAATTTTAACTTGGAAAGATTAAAAGATGCAGAATTCCAGTTGCAGACAATAATTTGCTCTGTCAAATGTTTTGGTTGCTGAACTATTTTGGGCAAATGGAAAGTTTGAGAAAAGAACAGAACATGATAAAAATAGTTCAGACAACTCCCAAATTACATTTTGGCCACTGATCTGCTCTTTTTTTTAAAAAAAAAAAAATACTGTTTAAGCAAGTTTCTATATTATTAGTTTTCTAGCAGTGTTAATCAGTAAATCAAACTGGGAAAGAGAGCTTTTTATTTAAGCTTCTTACTATGTGAATGAGAAATTAGATGTTCCATTAGAAATAAAATTTAACATATTCCTTAAACAAAGATTTGTTATAATCTTAAATTGCTACATCAAATTACTATAAAATTGATTGTGGCCTGGACATAACTACCCAGCAGGATTGCTAATGCTGTCATATTATTTCTAATTTTCTATTGTGGGAAAAAGTTCTAGGAGGCAGAAGTTGCATTCATTAAAAATGTTATTATATCAAGAACAAAGCTAGACATGTAACTAAATAGATACGGAATAACAACTTGCTTGTAATTTATTTCAAGCATAGTATTTCATCTGCTCTAATCTATACTAATTATTTAATCAATGCAGCAGACTTCGGCAATTTAATATTTCATAAAATCCCATAAGACTCTGCAACTGAATAATGTAATGGACAGCCACAATATCAGAGAAATAACCTGTTTCAGTACTATACTATTTACAGCTACTTAACATTCAATAAAAGGTGGTTCAAAGCTACAGGTTCAAAAAATGACTTATTTTAGTTAACTATTTCAGATATAAATGGCTTGGCTTCCTCCCCTGAGTTATTGGCATCCACCTCAATTCTGTTTCCTACTTTTTATTCTGAATCAATCTAGGTGAAAAAAATGTCCTAGTAATAGTGGATAAATATAAATACTGGGATGGAGACGTTTTTAACTGCATAAAAAAATAACTCTGAATACTCTTGATCTCTCCTCCCTAATTCTCTTAGCAAACGCTTTAACAAAGGCAACTTATTCCAACTTTTATATAATTAATGTGTGGTTGTTCTATTTAAGTTGGCCTATTTTCAAACTCAGAAGTCTATTCTGTGATGACAATTTAATGGAACCTCAAAAAGAAACAATATGATAATTATTAAATCAACATATCTACATTTTAAAAATTATTTTGAATTTTACTGGCAGAGACTATCTACCATTATTGACACTCATAGTCAAAACTATTTCCTTCCAGGTAATAGACATGTTGTCTGAGAATCTTGTGAATCGTCTATGACACATCTGGATGGAATCAGATTATAAAATATTAACCAATTCTATTTATGCATTTATTCTTTGGGGTCCATATATGTTTGTTTCCTTGTGCCCCTTTTCTAATACTTTGATTACTGTCTATTTGCTCTAACAGAACTCTTAAACATTTGTACCATCAATGCTGCTAATTCATTATTCCAAGCACTGCAAAGAAATCTGCAAAAAATTGTCTCTTCTGATCTTACTGGTATCTTATTTGAGTATCTGAGCACATTTGAAATTGCAGTTTGTAATTTGTTCCATTGCCTGTTTAAAAAGCCAAATGAACTAAAGAAATTCTCCACATTTTTTCTTTGATTTAATCATACGCATTGCTTAAGGCTACAGAAACACACACAAACACAAATTCTATATCAAGAGCACTCAAATTCGGTGATTCAAAAAAGTTGAATTCAGTTACTTATATAAATTAAATCCCATAAGCACATTTTCAAGATTCCCTCATTCTTGGATTTTATTCTGTCAAGAGAAGACAGTCTACAAGGGGTTGAAAACTTGCTGCTGATTACCCTGTTTTCCCTCTGACTTCCAAGATTTCACAACAAAACCTCATGTTTTTACATATATCTTAGCAAACACAAGAGCTGGAAGCTTTTTTGCTATTGATTCATTTGCTCTTCTTGTTTTGCTATGATGTTTGCCTCATTTTGAATTATGCCATTTTTCTTACGCATCTCAGAATACCAAATTCCTAAATATTGAACGGGAAAGAAAGAAAAAGAAAAATCAAACATCTCTTTTTTATAATGTACTGGAATATGTATTTTCTAGGCCAAGGTTCTCTTAATGAACCTGTAACACACATGGAAACTTTAGGTGTCTGGTAGTTAAAAAGGATACAATGACTGTATGATGCTATCATCTTTTCCTTCTTTTTTAATTGGAGTTTGATTCGGCAAAAAAAAAAAAAAAAAAGGCAGCCCACACTATCAGGCTAACCACAACTCCACCCCAGAACAGAGTCATTGCATCTAGCTCCCTGTAAGATGATCATATTCTGTGCCAAGCCATTAATGTTATATTCACAATTATGGTGCCTTTTATAACTGTCAAGTTTGCTATTTTTTCCATTTGCCACGTCATAGCTACTATGTGTAAAAGTCAGGGTCGGTCACTTTCATACAGAAAGTAATGCAGCTGGTGACAATTAAAAAATTATGATTTGTAGGAAAATATGTTAATTTCAACTTACTGACATGGATTAAAAATATGTTTATTATAAATCCATGTCCTTTCCATGGATAAATACCATAAACAGGGCAGGAAAGAATCAGCATTTTTAAAAAAATGTTAACTTCTAAAACACAGAGATGATATAATTATGAATGTATATTTGATTTTCTAAGCCACATTTATTAGCATTGTTCCAGAGCAACTTGTGTATACATTTTAGCCAAATTTACAAAGTTGGAGTTATAGTTTTGCCATGTAAATTCCTCAGTTATCAATCAAAGAAGACTACAGGTTGAAATAGAAAGTGGAGGAGGAGGAAGAGGAGTACTGTAGCTTTACAGACATTACTGTTGTGTACTGAATCTCAGAATAGCAATAAAGCAAATTAGAAGCTGCCTGCTGCTTCAGAAATCCAGGTCCAAAGAAATTATCCAGTTACCCCAAAAAGCCTTAATATAAGAGTCATCTTCATAGTGTCACGTGGCAATCACAGTAGCCATACCCTCTCCCCAACACACAGAAGCACACAAATAGACACACACAGAGATGACATTCTAACTAACAATTCACACTGATTGACATAAAAGCAGCCTACTCAAACCTGACCAAAACAAGATTTCTTACAATAAAAAACTACCACTCAATAAATAACACTATGTCTAAAAATACATTAGCATTTGATTTAAGTAAGATTTATTCCTGCTGAAAAGTATTTTCTATTTTATGTGTACAAAAAACTTTCTGTATAATCACAATGGGCAAGTACATTCTCCCAACTTTCTATGAATCAATACATATTTTCAGCATGTTTTATCATTTCATCTCTTTTACTTTTTTGGGTATATAAGTTCTGTTCCAAAAATCTGTTTTTGGCTATACTATACATTTATAAATAAAAACATTAGAAATAAAAGTCTTTAGGAAAGACTTAACAGTCAATTTTCAAAAATAAGACACTGCATGCAACAGAACTTACTTTAGAAAGGATTAACTGTGATATGAACATGTCAATTTATTTCTCTCATTTCATGTTAGTGGCATCTGTAAACGGAGTATTTAAACATCAGCATGCTTGAAAGGTAAGTTCCACTTTTGATTCTGAATGCTAAATAACAGAAAACATTTGGGACAAATTCAAGCCATTTAAACTAATGTCATCTTTACTAAACTTATTTCTCCTAAATGTGAGGCATTAACTAATTTTTTTTTAAAAAAACTTTCTTGCAACTTATTTCTTCGAGGTATCAAGACTGCATTCCTGCCCTCTTAATCTGCTCCCCCCCTTAGTCTGATTCAATCAATGGTGGTTTTATCATTAAGTATCAAAAAGGGGCAGATTATCCCACAAATTAATTAGTACCACATATACTGCAGAATAAGACAGTGATATATATAAGAAAAAAATGTATAAACCGTGTTTACCTTAATACTTTTCCTACTGCTTGTAGAACCATTTTGCAACTTATTCCAGTTTTGGGAGTTTGAGAAAGTACAGGTCTTTCACTGCTGTGGTTACAATGATCCCCAACCATGTTCAAAAGAGACAGAAAGAGAAGTGGGGAGAGGGGTGTTGTGGTGATGAGACAGAAAGAGAACTGGAAGCTGTTAGTACTGATCTTGATAGCTCACCCTCTCTTTCCTATCCTCCTCAAAAAACTAGTCCAACTACATTCACCGAGTTCATAGCTTGCTTCACTCTAACCCTTCCTCCTTCCTTGCTTCAGCCAATAAGAAAGCAGCAATGGAACAGGAAAAAAAAAAACCACCCTCAGCTAGAAAAGGCAAACAGCTGCTCCTTTTTACAAATTCTTCAGTAAAAGCCAAGCCTGGGAAGTCAATGCCAATAAGGAAGCATCTGAATTAGTTTTTTCAGGCTGGCGCCGGCTGTAAAACAAGACAAGAAAAGTAGTGTGGGGAATAAGCAAGCTTCTTTCAAGCGTCCAGTTTGGACTGCAGTTTTATTAGGGACGGTGCATGGATAGAGAAGAGGGAAGTGCTTTAATTTATAGCATATTAAAAAAAAAACAGAGCTGAACAAACAAGTGAAAATATTTCATGATTTTTCCATCTAAATCTTTACTCTTCCAAAACACCAATTAGCCTTTTCCAATTTGTCTTTTATAATTAAGAAGCTCAATCTGATTTTTAACTTAGTAGCTAATATAGTCACCAATCCTTCTTTTCACAGTTGCATTGCCTCTCTCTCTCTCCCTCCCTCTCTCCCCCCCTCCCTCCCCCTCTCACACACACAGATAGACAGACAGACAGAGAGTGCTTAGCATGAAACTACACTAGCCTAAATGTTACATGCCAAGTGTTCTGGCACAAGAAGGCTTCAGTTAAGATCTGACTGATATTAGTCAACAATCATGCTATTCACTGTTTCTTAAATCACTAAAGCCTATCAACAGTGATAGACTATAAATACTTGAGGTACTGCAGGAAAGAAGATACAGATCAAGCATCATATCTCTGTCTCAAATGCAAAGAGCTGCTTTTGTAATAGCAGTGAATGACTAATTTAACACTGGAAGGTATTTTATAACTATGCTCCATTATGGTTTTAATTCATTTAACTCCTGTATTGGGTTCGTCTTTGTCATGTGTATCAGGCTTTCGCCTATATATATATATATATAGATATATATAATGAAAATTACCTAGTTACAGTATAAAGGCAGTCAATAGTAATGACCTGATCTTGTTATATGCATGTTTCTTATTTTTTATGGTTATTTTAAGATGTGTTTAACTGCCCAGAGTCATATTTGCAAGATGGGTTGCTATATAAATTTGATAAATAAAATAAAAATAAATGAATAAAATAATGTCCAATTTTTTGGAGGGGAGGTTGAAATAGTTTATAGAATTAGTTTATGAAAGAAACTAAATAGATTTTTTTTCCAGATATACTTCACCTCCCATTGGAATGCACCTCCCATTTGTAATGTACATTAAAATAAACTGAAGGAGATAAAATTGTGCAATTTGTCTAATAAAATTACATACCAGTATACCAGTGGTCCCCAATCTTTCTGGCTCTGCAGACCAGCACCAGTGGGGTGGTGGTGGTTTTGTATGTACATTTACCGCTTGCACAAATACAGCTCTGAATGTTTGCTCAGCGGCCCAGCAGTGGGCTGAAGACCAGGGTTAGGAAACCCTGCAGTAAAGCAAATGTCTACACTCTCATTTTCCACTTCAATCTTATGGTCAAATGGTCTCACGAGAAAGGGCGTTGGTTCTCACCTGATACGCCCATTCTCTGGGAGCTGTGAAGATCATCCAGGTCAGGGTTGTACTTCCGTCTGCCATTCAATAGGCTGAGCAAAGAACTGAGGACACTCCCCCTTGCTGCTTGTCCCCAGTTTTGGCGAAGTCGAAGTTGTAGATTACTCCGCTGTGCTCTTTGCTTGCTCATCGTGCTTGACCAGGAACAGACCCAGATGGTCATCTGGGTGGGGCTGGATGCTCTTCACAGTTCCCAGAGAATGGGTGCATCGGGTAAGAACCAACGCCCTTTCTCCAATGAACTGTTCCAAGCATCCAGGTCAGGAACATACCCAAGCTGGCATGTCCTTATGGGAGGGCCTCCATCTGTTTTGGAGTCTCCCTCACTGTGTGAACCCTTTGCAGGACATGTTTTCCAAAGGAAGGTTCTGCTGATGCAAAAACATCCAGTTTGTAATGTTGTATGAAGGGCAACAGTGAAGACCACGTTGCCGCTCTTCAAATTTCTGTGATAGAGGCTTGTGTCGCCCAAGCCGCTGATATGGCTGCACTCATGGTGGAGTGTGCTGTGATCCCTCTGGACACCGGTAATGTCTGGAGTTCATATATCTTTGCAATAGTGGCTCTGAGCATCTGCCATTGTTGAAGCTGTAACTTTCCTCCCTAGGGTGGAGGGTTGAAATGAGACAAATAGGGCCTCTGTCTTCATGTGGGTGACAGTCCTATTGATATAAATGTGGAGAGCCCTATGCACATCTAGAGAATACCATTGTCTCTCTAATGCATGAGCCGGTCTAGGGCAGAAGTTGGGAAGAATCAACTCCTGTGCTCGGTGGAAAGAAGTATGGACCTTGGGTATAAAGGTCGGGTCTAGACAAAGAACCACCCTATCCAAGTGGAAGACACAAAGGACTTCCCTCATCGAGAGAGCCGCTAGCTCAGATATTCTCCTGGCAGGGGTTATAGCTACCAGGAAAACCACCTTATAGGTTAGAAGGTGGAGACTGATAACCCTCAAAGGTTCAAAGGGTGGTTTGATGAGCGCTGTAAGAACCTTATTCAGATCCCAGGTGGGGTATCTATGGACCACAGGAGGTCTTAAATTATTGGCCCCACGTAGGAAGCTATATTCTTGGATGGTGAGCAAGAGATTGGACTCCATCACAGGAGAGGACTGAGGGTAGGGCTGCTACATGCCTACACAGTGTATTGGGAGAAAGGCAATTATCTAATCCCTCTTGGAGAAAGTCTACAACATTTGCCACCAATGCTGAGGCAGGGTCTAACTTATTTTTGTTGCACCACCTGCAAAAGATCTTCCATGTGGCATTATAGATGCGGATCATGGATGGACGTCACTTGTCATTGTATTGATTACAACGCCCAGGTGCAAAAGTCGAGTGGTAGATGTTACATGGCTTTTGTCCAGGTTGACTGAAAAACCGTGGTCCTGAAGGACCCAGAGAGTGATTTGTAGATATGTCTCCGCCTGCAGGCGAGATGAGGGCTGTATTAATATGTCATCTAAATAGCATTGTAGACAAATTGGTATGCTCCGTAGATGTGCTGTTAGGACCACCAGCACCTTTGTGAAAGTATGCTTCGGTCAGGTCCACTGAGATCAAGACGTATCCCTGCCTAAGATTTAGAAGAATAGATTGCAGGGAACACATTTTGAATCTCCTGTATACTAGGGAGTGGTTCAGATGTTTCAGGTCTAGAATCGCTCTCCACCCACCCACCCCGAACTCTTTGCAATCACCACTGGTTCATCAACTGTTGGTGCCTGAAGCGACCCAGACAGTTCGTGAGCCAGATTGTAAAATTTCCTATCGTACCCCATGGGATTGGGATAGGAGCCTGTAGAAGCCTACTGCTGCTTGAACCTATCTACGAACATCTTTGAAACTGGTATGACTTTTGTCTCTGCGATAGGTTCAGAAAAAATTAAATTCTCTGACTCCCCCTCCTTCAAGACAGCCTCTGATGGAATGGACAGATGTGATCTTTTTTGCTTTGAACAACAAGGACTTGAAAAGCTGCAGACAGAACAGCCCCGTGAATGTAGGCTGTCCTCTGACATGTCTTTATCAAGTTGGGCCTCTGTCTGCGACAGGAAGGAATCAGTGTTGTCTGATGAGACAGAAGAATAAAGGTCTTGGCCCTCCAACTGTTCCCCAATGAGTTGCATGGGGTGAGGTTGTGGTTGAAATTGATTTAAATGCCCTATAGGGTGCATAGGTTGGGGTGGTACCTGGAAGTCAGGTGGATTAGCCTTGAGTTGCATAGGTTGAGACTGCCCTTGATGATGGATAGGTCCTGACATCCGAGACCTCATCTGGTAGGTCTGTTGCACACCCTCGGCAATGCCCTGCCTGATCTCCTCTGACATCCAGAATTGCACAGAAGGGGGAATGTCCAGAGGAGACCATTGTTCTACACAGAGCCCCGCTGCAGTTGGTGTGAAGGTGGCCTCCAGTACCAGTCTGGGCCTCTTGTTTTGGTAAGTGTGACCCCCTGTTGGCATGGCTACAGGGTACACTGAGTTGGTCATGTTGCCGGTATCTGGTCCCGGGGCCTGAGAAACGCAGGTCTCAGGTGATCCTGTTGATGACCAACATAGGGCCCTCAAGTTGTTACCACCTCTGGCAGTGACCAAAAAATCCAAAGGTGGGACTAACATGGGCCTAGGAGAAGATATTGCAATTGCTGGGGAGGCTGATTGCCGGTTTTTCTCCGCCTCTCTCAGGCTCCTCTCCAGGTGCTTCTCCAGTGCTTTCTGGTGGTGTTTTTCATATTTTTTCACTGCCTTGGAAGTTTTCTTGGTCCACGAGGTCTTAGAATTGTTTCATGTCATCGTTCAGGCTGATATTCTGGATCCTGACTCACTGGAACAATCCGAGCCTTCCTCCTCCATTGTACGCCCGAATTACAGGTGTGTTTACTGTGAAAATATTTGTTGGGGTACAGATATTTGCCCACCAGGGAGTCTGCACTGGAATGCAGGCAGTGACTCCTATTAATATGAGCCAGGGCCTGGTAGGTATTCAAATTTTTAAAAAATCGCAATTTTTTTTGTTCCCCAAAAAATATTTTTTGGGGAGATGTAAAATTAAAATAAAATTCCAAAAAATCGACAAGAATGGTAAATGGAGAATGACCTGTCCTAGCTGATGGGGGGAAAAATTGATGAACCCTTTAGCTCATAGCTCACTGAGAAGGTGATCTTTTGTATCAAAAAACAGTATAAGAGCGCAGGCTGACAATGGCGTAGGCGCAAATTGTAAACTGCCCTCATGGTGCCAGATAAGAACCTTTGTTAAAGAATAATTCCAGAGGCTAGTAAAGCTTCTGTATGCCTTGGTAAAAAAACGAATGATGCACTTTGCAATCGGGCTTTTTCCCAAAGCAGAGCTGTTGGGGTTAAAGACCAGTTTTTAAAATGAAGGCACCTTAGTCATTCTTTTGAAATTTGGTGGGAAAGAAAAAGAAAAAACACAGATTCAAAATGGCACCAGCTGCTTAAACTGCCAGCATGCAATTCAAACTGTATGGGCAGTTTCTT